AATGTTAAACAATTTCAATACTTTAATGATCCACCTTTATGTGGTCATTTGTGTTTAGAATTTATTGATAATTATAAAAAATTTATTTAAATATAATATATTAAGATATTTTTAATAGAAATTTTTCTATTAAAAAAACTGATTTATTTGTGCCATTGTTTATTTTTATTTTTTTTAAATAAGATACTCAATTTCTTTTGAAATATTTTGCATCTGAGGATTTTATTTCATTTTGTGAAAAATATTTTAATTCTTATTGCATTTCAATTTTGTGATCTTTTTGTGTTTAATTTCATTTTTGTGATCTATTTACACATTGTTTTCTTTGTTATTGATAAAAATAGGAGGTGTGCCAGCAATGGTACACTTATACTACTCACATGTTTTTTTAGTAGCAGCCATTGTGTTGCTAAAGATTTGCATTGCTAATTTGCAAGACAGCATTTGAAAAGGTCCAGGGTTTATGTGGTTTTCAGTTATTTTTAATAATGACCTACTTGTAGTTTGAATAAATTCTTTTTCCATCAACCTCAAAAAATGGTTTATCCTTTGTTACTTTTAAAAGTTTAAGTGCTGATACATTGTTGGTGCCTTCACATATTACAGCTTTGAATAAAAATCCACAATTTAATAGTCGCTGTACTGTTTCTATTATTAATTCACTTAGTATATTATTTTTCACCGATGTTGCTGGCAAAAAATAACATATTGGCATTTTCCATGAAGAGTATAATCCACGAATCATAAATACCATTGCTTGGCCAGCTTATTTATTTGATCGACCATGGGGACCTAAATCTTCAAATCCCTCAACAACATCCAAAAATTTGGAATATTCAAGGTAATACTTAATTTTCATTTCATCAAAGATCAAAGTACACTAAAGTTCATCTTTACTCATCGATTCACCTTTTTTTTTTAACTGCTTAAATATACCTGCATTAAATCCTGGTTTGAATTTAGAATTTCTAATCCAGCGACAGATGGTTGATAAACCAGGTAGAGTAAATTGCTTGTTATTTTTTAAGAATTTGTAAACAGATGGTGATTTGTAGAACAGACCTAAAGCAAAATTTTGTTCATTTTTTGTGAATTTTTTTCTTGAAAATGTAGGTCTTAATACCTGCATTTTTACAAGTGTTTTAGAATCTATAGATGGATAGTATAAAGAATCTAATAAAGTACTTTAATTTTTTTTACTTTCTCTAAGTATTTTCAAATTTTTTTTTAGCTTTAATAAAGAGACATTTTTGCTGCGAATTTGTTTTTTTTTTAAGTTGAAGAGCAAGCTTGAATTTTGATATTTTACTATCACTGTTGTTGCTGAATAATATTTTAGGTTTTAGGCCAGTTGGTTCATGAGATTCTTCAATAAACGTTCTGGTTTTTGGAGTAAAAACTGGAGTTCAAGATGTTAATCTAATGAAAATATTATCATATCCAGAATGCATTTTACTTGGTGTTTGAACATATACACCAGGAGATCCGTTTTTTGAAATGGTTTCTATTGCTGTTGGACTTTGAAAACCTATTTTTTGGTAAACTTTAGTGGGTGTAATTACATGTAAATTTTCAATGTCTTCATATTTTATACAAACTGCAGTTTTAGTCAATCTACATTTTTGATTATTTGTGTAATCTTCATCAACAAAGTGATTATCACAGATATACCGATGTGATAGTTCATCAGAAGTGAGGTGAACTAAGTTGATATTTCCTAAAAAAATATGAATAGTAAATAACATTTATATTATAATATTAACTAACAAATAATTATTCTTAGAACACTTTATAAAAATGAATTCTTTTACAAAAGTCACCACCTATAGGCACCCTAAGAATTTTTTTCTATTGATATTTAATTTATTCTCTCTACGATCATTGAAAAAACCGATTATTACTACATAAGTATACTATAACACGAACAGGGACAAATGGACCCGGCCGTTTGGACGCGGCCATTTGGACGCGAGGTCATTTAGACGCGGCCGTTTGGACGCGGCCATTTGGACGCGAGGTCATTTAGACGCGGCCGTTTGGGCGCGGGTACATTTGGACGCGAAAAAAACATAAATTATAATATATTTATTTTATTCGTAATTTTATACTAGGGTATACATATAATACAATTAAAAATCTAAAACAGTTATTAAAAAATACAAATTACAATACAATTAAAAATGTGATAATTACTAAGTTACTGTACAGAAATATTTTGGGCTATCCCTCTCAAAAATGACAAAATTCCACTCTGTTCATAATTTTGAACAATTTTTAAAATCCTCTTATCAACATCAATATATTTTTTTAATTTTTTAGGTGGACTATTTCCAGCTTCTAATTGACTATAATAAAAGTCTCTACCTGACTGTACTTTTCGAAGACACGTTATAAAAGACCGCAAACTTGGATGGTTAACGCCCATCTCCATGTTTAGTCTTCGATTAGCAGCTTCGGCGTGATTGTTGGTTCTGTTTTTTCCATTCAAAACTTTGTTATACATGTTCCAAATATTAGGTGGAAATAAAGGTAATCGACGACCTCTTCGATTTCTATTAATTCGTCCCACATAATTGTCTTCAAACCAATCTAGTAAGGGTTGTAATTCGTCTGGTAAGTATCCTGCCAAAGATTCGATTGCCAAATCAATATCATTAATTGGAATAAATGTCAATGCTACAACCATTTTAACCAATATTGAAAAATCAGAATTATTTCGATAATTTGACACAATCCCCAAGTCACACAATTTTTTATAAACATTTTTTGAAAAATGATAAAGACAACCATATATTTCAGTACTAGGAAATTCAGTTTTTATGGATTTTAGAATTGCTTGCTCAAAATCACAAGATATTGAAGTCGGGTTTAATCCAGGCTTTAATTGGTTTAACATTTTAAAAAAATGAGTGTATGTTTTTTCTTGTTTGTTTGGCAATAAAGCGTATATTAGTGGGTGTACACCTCCGCAAGTATGACAAAAACTTGAGAAAAAATAACTGGAGCGATTTTAAACGTTCCATCACAGTACCAAACTTTTGAATTGTATAAAATGTCTAAACTACGGTTTCTTCCAAAAATTAAAATACGATCGATGCCCGGTCCACTATCGTCTAGTAAAAATGGTTCAGTCATACCTGCTGATGGTGAGTATACTTTAAAGGAGTCTGGAATTTCTAAAGTTAATAAATCTTGTGGTGCATTTGGTGATGCTTTAATTTCATTTCGTTTCCGTCGGACTACTTTTTTCAATGCTAGACTTGATGAAATTGCTCCCTAAATTAAAATAAATGAAATAAATAACTACATTTTTTTTACTACTTTATATATATATAATTAATAACAAAATAGTATTACCTTAGCCGCTTCTGATAATCCAGATATACATTCGTTGATTACAGTTGATGTTGGTTCCATGGTTTCAGCCGCTCTATTTTTCAAACGATTAATGGCAATCATCGCCTCGACTTTTGCAGCCTCCGAATCATGAGTGTGTTCATTAATACGTTTCAGTACTTCTAAACTATCAATTCCTGTATGAACGCGTGCCTTACACTCACGTTTGTATTTACACCGCCAAAATTTTTTAAGCGAATCAGAACTTAGTTTGTCAAATAAATATATAAAACCATTTTCAATAAAAATGCATTCATTACGATTTGACTTCATTAATGCCATAACTACTTCAAATATTATATATTGTGTTTAAATAAATCGCTGTTATATTATAAAAGTAACGTAGATCTAACCACTGCTTTCGGTCAACTAAAGTTTTCGTTGGTTACGAATGGATTTTAATCGTAATTTCTCGATAACGTTTTTGGATAACGTCGAATAATCCCTAATATCGTGATAAAAGTATAATGTTATATAGATATAATATATAAGTATATGATATAGGTATAAAGAATTCCATAACATCAATTATGATTATGGTATAGTTTCCCTATACCCGGAAAATAAATATTGTTATAATTTATGTTTTTTTCGCGTCCAAATGTACCCGCGTCCAAACGGCCGCGTCTAAATGACCTCGCGTCCAAACGGCTGCGTCCAAA